AGGAGGAGGATGAGCAGGAGGTGGCGACAGCGGCAACTGAACAGGCAACCGAACAGACAACTGAACAGGCAATTGGACCGATGAGAAGAAGAAGAAGCCGGATAAACATAAACGAGGGCGATCGGCAGCACCCGCATTGGCAGCAGCCGCAGCAGTCGAAGCAAGGAACTGTGCTTTGCCCGATCGCCCCGTCGGCTGACCCGCCGTCCTCTGGAGCTGGGCTGGTGCCCGTGCACTCGCGGTTTCATTTCCTCCTCGCAGCTTGGCCCCTCAGGGCAACGAGAGGAGGGGGGGGGGCATGATGGGAGGGGAGGTGGAGGTGGAGCAGGAGGGGGAGGCGGAGGAAGTGGAGCAGGAAGGGGAGGAGGAGGACGAAGAGGAGGATGCGGAGGAGAAGGAAGAGGACCATGGGGGAGGATGATAATGATGAGGATGAGGAGCAGGAGAAGCAGGAGGATGCAGGATTGCTTCTGCCTATCCTGTCGCTGCAGAAGCATGGAGAGGATCAGGAGGAGGATCAGGAAGAGGAGCCCCAGAAGAACGAGGAGGGGGGAATGAGGAATCAGGAACAAGGAAGGATGGAGGAACGAAGAAGGAGTGGGGAAGGTGGAGGAGAATTGAGGAGGGAGGAGGGTGGAGGGAGGAGGGGGAAGGATGAGGATGAGGATGACGGAGCTGGGGGCGTGGCTGAGGCGATAATGCCTCTCAGCACAGCATTTTTGCGTGGCGCATTGGAACGCAGTGGGGCGCTCCCTCCTAGATGATGAGGCACATGCAGTGGGAATCACGGTGATGTTGAGGGAGCATCAGGAGGACGAAGAGATGGGTGGGGTGGATGATGATGATAATGCTGCTGATGCGGATGACGACTCTGATGATGCTGATGATGTTGATGATGCTGCTACTGCTGCTGATGCTGATGCTGATGCTGATGCTGATTCTGATGCTGATGCTGGTGCTGATGAGGATGGTCATGCTGATGCGGCTGATGCTGAGTATGATGGTAAGTATGGTGGTGATGGTGATAATCAGGCTGATGCTGCCGGTGACGATGATGCTGATGAAGACGCTGGTGATGTTGCTGATGACGATGGCGACGACGATGATGATGATGGTGGTGGTACTGAGGATGATGACCATTAGCCTGCTGATGGTGATGATGTCGAGTCTCATGACGAAGCTGATGTTGATGCCAATGATGATGCTGATGATGATGACGATGGTGATGATGCTGATGATGATGATGATGATGATGCGGATGATGGTGATGATGCTGCTGCTGATGATGATGGATTGTGATCCTGCGAATGATGATGCTTTTGGTAATTGTGATACTGATGCTGGTGATGCTGACGATGAAGATAATGTTGTTTATGCTGATAGTGATGCGGATGCTGATGATGATGATTCTGCTGATGCTGCTGAGGATGATGCTGCTAATGATGCTAATGATGCTGCTAATGACGATGATGCTGACGATGCTGATTAGGCTGATGATGATTTTTATGATTATGCTGATGATGATGCGGCTGATGCTGATACTGATGATGACGATGGTGCCGCTGATGCTGTTGCTGATGCTGATGCTGGTGCTGCTGATGATGATGCTGATGCTGCTGATGATGCCGATGCTGATGCTGCTGATGATGATGATGCTGCTGATGCCGATGCTGACGATGATGCTGATGATGATGCTGCTGCTGATAATGATGCTGATGATTGTGATGCTGATGATGCTGATGATGATGATGATGCTGATGCTGTTGATGATGATGATGCTGCTGATGATGATGCTGATGATGATGATGATGATGATGATGATGATGATGATGGGGATTGTGCTGCTGCTGATGATGATGATGCTGATGATGCTGATGTTGCTGTTGCTGATACTGCTGATACTGGTGCTGATGATGCTGCTGCTGATGATGTTGCTGCTGGTGATGATGCCTATGATGATGGTGGTGAGGATGACGATGGTGCTGATGCTGCTGATGATGATGGTGTAATGATGATGCTGATGATGATGATGGTGATGATGCTGGTGGTACTGCTTATACTGATGAGGCTGATGCGGCCGATGATGACGAGTCTGCTGCTGCTTCTGATTATGATGCTGCTGACGACGACGATTGTCATGCTGCTGCTGATGCTGATGCTGCTAATGATGATGATGTTGATGATGATGATCATGACGATGCTGATGGTGTTGATGATGCTGATGATGCTGCTGCTGATGGTGATGATGATGATGATGATGATGATGATGCTGATCATGATCATGATGCTGACGATGCTGGTGATGCTGGTGATGAGGATCATGATGGTGCTGATGCGGCTGCTGATGATGATGATGAGGAGGATGGGGGTTAGGATGAGGAGGTGAAGGAGGAGGAGGAGGAGGAGGATGGGGAGGAGGAGGGAGGATGACGGGGGTGCGGATCAGGATCAGGATGAGGGTGAGAAGGAGGGTCAGGCGGATGAGGAGGAGGACGAGGAG